GCTGAACAAAGATTTCAGCCTTCTGCAACTGGGAACATTCAAACCCTCTGATTTTAGTTATTAAAAACAAACCGCAGCCACCCAAAGCACTGGCTGGTTTCTGGTCTCTGGAGGAAGGGGGAGAGGTTGAACCATCCCCACCTACTTGGAAAGGCAGCGCAGGGAAGACTCACGCCGTGCTCTGCTCCCTCACCTCCAGAGCTTTCAAATAAATGTGTTTCACTCGCACAGAGTTCCTACTCACAGAGGTGCAGAACGAAGCCATGTCATTTTGCCTGGGCATTTTTGGGGAGGGCAGCCAGTTATGTTTCTGGGGAGACTGCTCACGTCTACAGAATTTGGGGCTAGATGACTCCTGCCCAAGAGAGATCACATTAGTAGTTCATGTTTCCCAAAACTCAGCTTCAATTTTCTATACTTAAGGTATGAAAAAAGTTGGCTTACACCAAAAAATATGATTTGGAGACAAAATTCAGGATGGGCTTATGCCAAATCTTTCCATTTTCATTTGCTGCTTCTTCCCTAACACTCAAGGAAAAGCTGAAATCCTTTGTGAAGAGGAAAGCAGAACAGAGACCGAAAGAATAACTTCTTGGTCTGCAGCTTAGAGGAAAGGATCCAGGACACACCTAAGCCACTTGAAAAGAATTCAAACGCCGGTAAAGGCCATGAAGAAAGAGGCCCAGCAGGAAGGTGTGTACAAAAGCCTGCGCTATTAGGGCAGGAGGAGCAGACACAGGAGCAAGAGGAAGAGTCGACAGCACATCATCGCAGTAGATCGGAGTGAAGCACGCTCTGGTATCGTGAGATCTTCCTGGAGAAAAGCATCCAGGTAGCAAAGCCACTACCAGACAAATACAAACACACTCAGCCCTGCTGGCTGGGACCCTTCCTTCGGAAGATTGTGAAGCTCTACCTAATACCCTTCCGTGACACCTGGCGCTAACCTTTTCAGTAGAAAGTTGAACAAGGGAAAGGAAGACCAGCCTAAGAAGAAAAATGTGGAGGCCCAGAGGTTTAATCTGAGTACAGACTAGTTCCATTAGCTGCATCTTAAAGGATTAACAGTTCAGCTCAGCTTTAATGAGTTTTAAAACATTTCCTCCTCCTGCCTTTCTCAAACTTGGCTGGGATCACTCATCTCTTTAAAGACTTATGAGCACGCCAAGTTTATTCCACACGCGCCAGGGAAAGGCAGCAGGCATCTTTCTTTTGAAGTGGGAACAAGCCTGTTAAGTCTTCCACTCTCCAGAACCTGAAAACAGCAGAAAACATTTCTGGAAAGTTTGAGTGAAAGCTCAAGCCTTTGAGCAGAGACCAAACTAAAGAAAAGCCACAATCTTCAAGCTCAGCCACATCATTTCCAGTTAAATTCACAATCCATGAGAGAATGCACCTCTGGGTTTAAGAGAAACACACATGCAACAGTAGGAACATTACCTCCCTGATGGAAAGAAGAAAAAATAAAAAGAAAAAAAGAAGAGAGAGGACCTGAGGTAAGAAATCCCATCAAATCCCATCGTGCAGACAGGAATTCTGTTATGTGACAGCGGACACAACTTCTGAACTCCTCTACCTCAGATAAATGCTCATGGAATCAGAGCAGGGATTTGCATTCTTCTCCCCTTTGTAAAAAGATGATAAAACATCGCCCCGAGTGCTGCAGGATTCCCCGCTTTCCAGTGCCCCCGACACTGCTCCACCTCCCTCTTCACAAGCATCCCCAGCCCGTCCAGCCTTGATCCCTAGGGACAGAGCGACCGCACCAGGGGGCATCTCCCCCAGCCGCCCCGTGCCCAGGAGCTGCCCGCCAGCACTCACAGGCCCTTTGCCTGGTTATTTCTGCATTTCCCTGGCGTTCGGCAGTGGGGTTTCTCACCGTTTTCACTACCGGGATCTCAAGCACCGATAGGAAACCATGCCTGGGGCGCAAACCCAATGGAGACATCACAAACGCCTTCCTCTCTCAAATGCTCAAGGGATATTTTTTTTTTAAGTTAAAAATCTTTCACAGATAAGAGCCTGTAATTATTCACCCAGAAAGCCCTTTTGTGCTTTGATCTGTCAGTTTTATAGGGACGATGTACCTGCTTGCTGCTTCCGAACTGATCAACCCCCACACCAAGAGTACTGCCCCATCTCTGGGATCCTCACACTCAGCTCCCCCGTCCCCAGCTAAACTCAGGCCATTTCCAGCCTTTTGCTGCACGGCAGTGGGTCAGCTTCACAGCATAACCCTGAGCTAAACCCCGCTGCCAGCCCCTCGGCCAGCCCCTGCGCTCCCAGGGCAGCTCCACATCTGTTACTTCCTCAGCAAAGCTTTGCTGCTTCCTTGTCTGGAGATACAA